CGCCGGCCGCCAGGGCCGCCCGGCCCGGAGCCGCTGCGGCCGCGCACCCGCTGCGCTGCGAACGCGCGGAGCGCCAGGACGGGATAGATGTGACAGCGACAGCAGCGGCTCCGTGCGAACGGCTGGGCTCGGACGCTCGCTCTTTGATAAAGGAGGAGCGAGAAAAAGGAGCTTTTAGTTCGTTTAAAGGCGGGCTTGACTCCCGTGATAAATCCAAGCCGAGGCACAGCTAGGTGCCGACCTGGCTGTGCTGTTGCACGCCTAAGCAGCGCTCAGCTGCCAGCACGGGAAACACAGCGGCTGATTCACTCAAACCAGCAGAGTTTGTCACCAGTGATGCGGATAGGGATACGTGCAAACTGAGCACGTGTGCTCAGTTTGTGGGAAGGCTGTGGCCATGCTGGGGAACGCGGTTAGATTTCTGGAACGATCTTGGCAAACTGGAGAAATGTTTGGGAAAATCAAGGTGCTCCTGAAGCACAAGCGCAAGGTCAGAGCCAGTGGATGCAGAAATGCAGGATGGGGAACAGCCAGGTAACAGCTCCGTGAAGAAGAATCAGGAGGTTACAGTGAACCTCAGCCTGAGCATCATTCACCAGGGTCATAGCTGTCCGAGCAGGAATAAACAAGAATATAGCCTGTGTGGCACACGAGCCCTCTGAAAGTTTGCAGACAAAAGAGCAAGGGCTACAGCAGCTGAAACCTCAGCATGAGATTTAGGTTAGGTGCCAGAATTGCAATGCCCCAGAAGAGACAGCATGGGAAATTTCATAATTTCCCTTGTTGCAGATTTTTAAGACCAAATTAAAGAGAATTTTGTCAAAACTGTCTGTGTGTTGGCAGTGATGATACTTCTTGAGATGCTCTCCAGGGATTGAAATGTAGAAGCTATCCAAAATTTGTATATATCAAGTAGAGTCTTATGCCAGAATTTTTTTTTTTTTTTTTTTTTTGCAGTTCTTGTGATCCAATCTGCATTAAAGGGCTGTATTTTTTTCCACACTTTTCTTACATTTACTTTTTAACCAATTCACTCTGAACACCCAAAAAAGATTTTACTATAAGGGGCAAGTGAAAAACGTTACCTGTGTAACATTTTTCTGAAGGTGAAAAATGTTACTTGTGTTTGATCCATTGTTCATGACACACTATTTTTCCTTTTGGATGGGAGGGCCTCCATGTTCTTGCAGCAACAGGGTTGTAAGCAGATAGTTACTATAGTGGATCTGTCACAGCTACAGATGTGGGCAAAGGCAGGCCAGGGGAACAGAAGATTATGCTGTGTGTCTGTATTCTTATCTTTCTTTAATTTCTAACCCCCAGGTTTGCACAAGGAGCACTTCACCTGGGGGCAATTATTTAAACATTTTTATGCCAAGTTTATTTTCTGAAAATAAATTGGTCTAGTTGCCAGCCTTTGAAATCAAAGATTAGCCTAAGTGGAACTTTAAACAGTCTTTACCCTTTTGTTTTGATGGGATTACCAAATTCATCTTCAGTCTGTAAGCACTCTTTATATCCAAGTACCCATCATATCTTTATTCCATTTAGACATAACTTAGGAACCTCAGCTAGCCAACAGATGACTTACTAGTATTTTTATATGTGAGCAGCATGGCTATCCTCATTAGCCATATAGTGCATTAATGTAGTTGAAATGCCTCTCAAATGCTTTTAATGAGTTTATCTAAGCTCCAGTTTCTCAGGAGCTCTTTCAAACAGCCCAGTATGGATTAGTACCTGAGGGAGGCCAGTGAGCTTTGCCAGCCACTACATAATTGTAGCAGCAAATCAAATAAAGCTTTGGGCCATTAGTCATTTGCTTCTGAGCTTCCCTTTGTGTTTGAGAGGAAGCTGAAGCCTTCCTGAGTGGACTCCTAGGGCTTCTTGCCCTTCTTGCCGTAATCACTGTCTTACTGATGATTTCTAGGAAGACAGAGAAGTCAGAGCAATTCCTGACTTGGCGGGGATGCTTTCTTCCTCTGTGCCTCTGGAAAAGATAGTGTTAAAACCCTTTGTCTCTTCTCTTGTCTGTCTTTCCTACTTCCTTAGATCTTTCCCCTTTTTGCAGTCTTTTCTTCAAATGTTGTCCAGCTTTGGTGCTTTTTTCAGCTAAAGGGTCTTATTCCATGCTGTGGGAACAGGCACTGATTCCTGCTTTTTCTCTGAAAATCACTGTTAATTCCCAGTTTTTACACAGCAAGCTCTGCACAGGCTTCAGTTCACAATCTGGGGCATGGATCCCTCTGGCCACAAATTAAACCACTGTCAGCTATCCCCTTCTCTCTTCAACTTTTGAAGTGTTTTTGAGTCCCTTGTGTGCTTTAATCCCTGGGCTTTCAGCTTGGCTTAAATAGTTATTGGCCTGCAGCCTGGGAGTACCATCTTCACTGACAATAAAACAATCATAGTCTTACAATTAAGAGCAAATATAAGATAAGAAAGAGTTCATGGAAGAATGTTGCAACTTCCCAGCCTTGCTCCTCCAAGTCTCACATTGAATTACAACATGGTGCTCATATAGGAAAAATCCATTCAGGCAGGTTGGTCACAGTTACAATGACTTTGGCCAGGTCACATTCAATATTTGGCAAGTCTTTCCAGACCAATGCATTGAGCAACCACACATCAGGTCCATGTGTGGCATAGACTCTTCTGAGGTCAGCTTTATGGCAGAGCAACAATGGAAATCCGCTTGAATAGCAAATTTGATGCAAAGCTGCATAACACCTTGGAAAATGTGCTGTGGGAGCAGTCTTAGAGTCAGAAAGTTTCTAAAAAGAATTATGAAGTCTCCTTGACATTAAGAGCAGTGTCTCTTCCTTCAAGGACCCATCAGGACTTTGTTGTATGGTCTTAACATACCAAAGAAGTAGAAAACATGACTTCTATCACATGGCTATGATTCCTTGGGTTGTGAATAGTCCCCTGGCTGCAGTGTGTTCTAATTGTCCTACCATGTGAAATTAATTTCACATTTCTTAAGAATACATAGATTGTATCTTGAGTTTTGGTGTTTTTCTGAACCACCATAATCATAAAAATGGTTAAGAAGTAAGACATAGGTGCAGGGCTCAGGAGCTGTTGGCCAAGGCATACAGACAAGACCAAGACATAGTTTTGAGCCACCAACTGTCCACATACAGGGTGATAGATCACTTTGCACTGTCTATGGGCATTTGAACTATGTCCCAGACAAAGCCATAAGCATCTTGTTCCCTCTTGCTTCTGTCTTCTGGGCTTGCAGCTGTGTTGTACACAGTGTGGTTGATGCTGTGAGAAGCCCGATGCACTCTGCATCTTTATTATCCCAGTAGGTTGCCTTGGAGCACAGCCTGCCTGCAAATCCCATTGCCATCATGCTAGATAATACAGGGACCCACCAGAAATAATCCTTTGCCACTCTGTGTCTTAGAGTCAGAAAGTTTCTAAAAAGAATTATGAAGTCTCCTTGACATTAAGAGCAGGGTCTGAACTCAGTGACCTTCCTTCAAGGACCCATCAGGACTTTGTTGTATGGTCTTAACATACCAAAGAAGTAGAAAACATGACTTCTATCACATGGCTATGATTCCTTGGGTTGTGAATAGTCCCCTGGCTGCAGTGTGTTCTAATTGTCCTACCATGTGAAATTAATTTCACATTTCTTAAGAATACATAGATTGTATCTTGAGTTTTGGTGTTTTTCTGAACCACCATAATCATAAAAATGGTTAAGAAGTAAGACATAGGTGCAGGGCTCAGGAGCTGTTGGCCAAGGCATACAGACAAGACCAAGACATAGTTTTGAGCCACCAACTGTCCACATACAGGGTGATAGATCACTTTGCACTGTCTGTACTGGGCATTTGAACTATGTCCCAGACAAAGCCATAAGCATCTTGTTCCCTCTTGCTTCTGTCTTCTGGGCTTGCAGCTGTGTTGTGCACGGTGTGGTTGATGCTGTGAGAAGCCCGATGCACTCTGCATCTTTATTATCCCAGTAGGTTGCCTTGGAGCACAGCCTGCCTGCAAATCCCATTGCCATCATGCTAGATAATACAGGGACCCACCAGAAATAATCCTTTGCCACTCTGTCTCATGTGTGAGACAGAGGCAGAGCTCACTCAGGGAGCAGTGGAACCTACCAGTGTGACACAGAGCACCAGCTGATGCCCACAGCAGGGAAGGAAAGCCTAAAGCCTTGAACAGCTGCAAGATGTTCCCCTTTGGGGTTGTAGCAATCCTAACCAGAAGACTATTGTGCATCACAGTGTTAGCGATCCATGAGGAATGTCAACCCGAGCAGGCTGTGCTGCCCTGTGCTGTGTGTATGGCTTGTCCTTCAGGATAAACTCAGCAGGGTGATGGTAACAGAGGAGCCCACAGGCAGCTCCCACTCTGTGTTTCTAATTACACCACCTCTGTGGCCTTGGCATTATCTTAAGGAAGAGCAGCAAGTTCTCATGTGAACATACAGTCGTTTGACAACAGTTATGATGAATACATTATTTTTTGTCTAAGAAAATTCTGTAAGAGGTCTCAAAACCGAAATGTTAGGGAACCTTTCCACAGGATGGGACCTGAACTATATGCCCTGAGTGAGATGCTGCATGGCTTCAGCATCTGAAGGGATGTAAAATGACATATATTCTTTCTGTTGCTCATGTTAGCTCCAGAAGATGGTGTTTTTAGCAATAGCTTATGTTTTTAGCAATAGCTTAAGGCACACTTAGCCTGAGTGCCTTTCTTACTGGATCATAAGGTACCCTGAGGTAGCCTCGGTGCTTTGCACTACATGTTAGCAGCAGAATAGTCTAAAGTTGGCCCCAAAGATGTTTCTGTATCAAGTGGTGTAAAAGGTGGCAAATAAAGCTCTAAAGAGTTCCAGCTTTGGGGTTGCTTCTCCACAGCAGTCTGGTCCCACTAGCTTTGTGACTATGTAGAATGCCCAGTATCACTGCAGTTACTCCCTTTTCATCCAGA